ATTACAATTTAAGGGAAAGATACTCTATTAAATTTTGTTACCACAAAATGGATATGAAAAAGATCGTAAGGAATCAATGAATTTTGTATTCTAAATCCAAACAAGAGATTTGAAGAATCCATAACAAAAAACTTATATATATTAAAAATACATAGATTTTTTTATTTATTTCAATATCCAAAATTCTTAATTTCCTCCTATCCAAATGGGCCCTAAGATTTATTGCCCATCAACTAAATATTCTAGACTCAATCTTTGAGGAGTAATTGATTTGAAAGTTTTTTTGGGAGCTCCCAAAAAAAAGCTTTTCCTTTTAAGATTGATCTAGAGACTAAGGAGTATGATCGAGTGTTTTCAGTTTGAAAAAAGCCCCTATTTGGGTTTTAGTGAGAGAGTACATTACAATTTAAGGGAAAGATACTCTATTAAATTTTGTTACCACAAAATGGATATGAAAAAGATCGTAAGGAATCAATGAATTTTGTATTTTAAATCCAAACAAGAGATTTGAAGAATCCATAACAAAAAACCTAGATATATTGAAAATACGTAGATTTTTTTATTTATTTCAATATCCAAAATTCTTAATTTCCTCCTATCCAAATGGGCCCTAAGATTTATTGCCCATCAACTAAATATTCTAGACTCAATCTTTGAGGAATAATTGATTTGAAAGTTTTTTGGGAGCTCCCAAAGAAAAGCTTTTCCTTTTAAGATTGATCTGGAGACTAAGGAGTATGATCGAGTGTTTTCAGTTTGAAAAAAAGCCCCTAATATGGCATTAACATGAAGTTTTGATGCATATTTCGTCCGCTTGTAGCACCAACTGTTTTTCTTTGTCTGATTATTATTCATTTAAATATGAAACCTTTGAGAATTTCCATAACAACTTAGGCATATCAATAACTAAAGGGTGCAGTTTGCACTGTAGAGGTAAGGTGCACCTTCAAATTTTCTCATGGGATATAATTTTGATTTAAAATTTTTTTAGGATTATCTCAAAATCTATTTTTATATCTAATTATAAAAGTTTAAATTTCAAAAGTAGTTAAAATCAAGTAGATCTATAAACATATGAAAATATTAAAAATGGACGGTGTAGATAATATGTTGTAAAATGTATTATTTTTAAGACTTAAAATCTTTTTATTTTTTATGGTCACATATCTCAATGTCGAGATGATCAATCAAAGGGTTTTTCAACACTAAAACTACCTTTTGCGAT